GTTATTGATATGTTTCACAGGGCTCTAGTTAGATTAGATTATAATATGAAAATAGTTATTCCAATACCTGGAGGTTTCACTGTATTTTAATATTTAAATAATGATTTACTTTTTACATCTTTTTTTATACTTTATGTATCAAAATGCTGCATTTTTTTTCTGTTAAGAGACAAATTTTTTAATGAAAGAAAAATTTTAGCAATTCCTTTTTTCTTTTTATTCGACCAAGAATTAAGCCAGTGCTGCCTGAATTTATTTCAAACCCTGTTGTGTGATTTGGCTTATCCTGCACACCTGATACTTGTTGCAAATTCTGCTCTTATAAAATTTTAATAGTTATTCAAAAAGAAAGTCACAATGTATATAATCTTTAGAAAAGTTATTATTAAAGAAAAATTTGCCTTTACTCACTATAGACATTGAAAAAATCTCTGATCGACTTGATTATGTTATTCAGTATTACAATGTTCCAAAAGAAGTTGAATCATCTATACGTGTTGGGTAAATATATTTATTTTAATATTATCATATATTTTGGTGACATATCGAACATATCAAGTGAGAATAACATTCCTTTACAAATGCTCTTATTTTTATGAAGCAAGTAGATTAAATATTTATTGAAAGTTATTAAGACACTATACACAGAGAATTACAGTGACTTATTTTTGAAAAAATGAGCTTTCCTATGTAAAACGTAAGGAATTAAATGAAATTGTATTTTGTGTCATATTATTTGTGTGTGCTGTTTTAAATTCGATTTAATTGTATGTCAAACCAGTTTTAACTTTTCAATAAGTTTATATTGAAACGATTGAAAGCTTTTGAAAACGTTATTTTAAGTTCATATTACTATTACTTTGCAATCAAAATGTTAATATTTTTCAGTTTCAGCATTATTTTATGGTTGTGAATATCAAAAAGTTCTTTAAACTAAATCGATTAATATTTTAAAAACTGTTCATTTAGTGGTGAGCAACAATTTTAGTCTAACTAATCCCTTAGAATTGAAACTACATATCCTGAATTAAATTATTTTAAATTGTAATTAAACTTTTAGATATTAAGTCAGGTGGGTAAACTTGGGTAAAAATTCCGAGCTTTTTCTATAAAAACGCTAAAAAAAACTTATTCAAAAATGAATCTAACAAAAAAAGAAACAATCATGTTGAGAAAACCGTTTCGGTTGTAGTTTGTTGCTAAGTTTTAAGTCAAAAATTAAAGAGGTGAGGTGAAATTACTATTTTTAAAAATATGTCTGGTTTCTAACATGAACCAAATGCTCGAAATAAATTTCCTGACCTATATTATTTGTTTTTCAAAGTGAGTTAAACAATATAAGCGCAATGTTTCTCTTATAAATGTACTTAAGTACAATATTTTTTTAAATGTGCCTTAAGTATTCAAATAGTGTTTTACATCTTATTCAGAATATTCATGTATTAATACTTACGTAACTTATTTTTCTTTAGCCCAAGTGGTTGTTTACAAACTTATTTAGATTACTTGAAAAAAATCCAGTCCTCCATTGCATTTTTCAAGGAGAATAATCAAGATTGCCTAGAACTTGAGGAACTAGTGAGTTTATTAATAAAAAATACATTTAAAATTTCATTCCTTGTACTAAGTAACACTTACATTGTTCCACTTTGTTTTAGACCACATTGTTTGATGATGGAACTGATGCTTTACAACTTGAATTTCGAAATCTACTTTCCCGTTACAGTAAACCTATACCAGCAGTAACAGTCTTAGATATGCTTGGAATGGATGAAGGTTTGTTGCTGTTTGATTAAAAAAAAATTTATATCCATGCAGTAGGTGGAGATCTCCCTAAAAATTAAAAAGAAAGGCAATGTGCTTTTTTTCAAAAACACAAACACCTTCAGTTTTGCAAGGTTTTAATCTTGCTAAAGATATTAATTATATCTAGCTAGATTAGTGCCCTTCAAAACAGAATTAAAAATTCTCAAATAAGTAAAAGAAATTATAGTATTTTATATTGATATAGCCTAAAAAATAATTTTTAATATTTATGATAATCTGAAGTTCCTAGTTTCTGCTAATGCTTCTCTTTCCTTAAGATAAAAAAGAGCATTTTTTTCTAAGCAAAAAGGGCAATAACATTTTTACAAAAAGGTCAAGGAGGGTATATTTATCTCTGTAAAAAGTCAAACAGGGTGGGCCACTGTTCTAAAAAACACTTAGGGAGAACACTGCAGTAAGCTCAAAACTATTTGGTATTATTCTATCAGGCCTAGTAAGAAATGAGGAATTCTAAAACTGTTGACTGCTGCTACCCTATGAGTATCAGTACGTCGTAAAAACTATATAGTATGGCACTCTTAGTATGTCTATGTCTACTCTTAGTATGTATGTCTTATTTATGGCATGATTTTTTTTAAGGAATATGAGAGTAGTCTCTTAGGATTACTGCTAAATAAAGATGCTCTCGACCAGTTTTACATTTTATACTAAAATGATATTTTTCTCTCATTATAATAATAACTTTTTTACATTTATGTATA